TTGTATTCAAGTATGTTGCTTATATCTATATATGTGTGTGTGTGTGCGTGCGCTCAAACTTTGCAGACACCTACAATACACTAATCCCCACATTCAGAAATCTTGACTTGCCACCACCTTCAATGAAGCACTAACACGTTTCGAATGCACTGCTTAAGGCGGTGGCAGGGCAGTACAAATGCACAAGCATGTGCCAAACGAGCTGCACTAAAGGCGGTGGTAAGTCAAGTTCAACTTAAGAAGCGTGTCTGAATACGGCCATTGGTGTGTTCGCATGTTTATATCATTTTATCTAAGATTTTAGAGTACTACTACTAATAATATTTATTATTCCCTTATTTCCCCGACAAGAATATTGGGGAAGCTGGGAGAAAAAGCTGACAAGAATCTAGCTTGACTATCTCCAGCCCTGCCCCCCCTTCCCCACCCCCTAATTATACTCTGATGAGCTTACAGCAGTGCAAATGAACAGCTTTTTTTACCTGAGTAATTGTACAGGAATCGGGAAGAAATGAAAAGATGGAGAAATAAGCAATGCAAGGCGTATACACTGAAAATGAAAATAATAAGAATGCATTGCGATAACACAAAATTAAACACCAAACTCTCAGAAATGCCGGATCTCCTAAAAAAGAACTTCGAAAAACACTCTCCAATTCCAAGAAAAAGAAAATCCGAAAGCGTGGAGCCCTAATTTTAGCCCAAATACAACTCTACAGTTGACTCCTAATAAACGGAACTCGAAGGGAATCCAAAAAAACTGTTTCATTTGTCAGAAGTTTCATTTAAGCAAGGTACACATACATCATGAACCAAAAACTTTATTTCGTTCACACCAACCCTAGCTTATTTACCTGGATGACTAGGAAAAAAAAATGAGTGAAGTGTGGTTTGCTTGGCATGCTTGAGCTGCTTCTTCGCAAAGTAAGCACCCATGCCTGACAAGCTAGACAGAACTTCAGGACAAACCATCATGCTCAAGATACCGTAGCAAAAGTTCAAAAGCCTCTCTACACTGTCCTGTGGCACCACTGCACTGCCAATGACATCATCACACTCATCCCTGGAGGAAGGTTGATCGTCAGCTTGCACTTCGGCAATCAGTTCCTCAAGCGTCTCTTCGCGACAAGTTTGCACACTTTCATCAATCGTCTGAGAGTCCTGTCATGTGAAAGGGGCAGAAGGCACAACCTGATTAAATGCTGCATCAGTGTCAGCATCAGCTGGGCTTTCCTCTTCATGAGGTACTGGTTCTTGAGCTTGAAAGCCCGCATGGTGGAAGCACCTCTGTATGGTTGTTGCCTTTCGTTGCTCTCAGGCGTGACACAAAATGTGAATGGCAGCCAACTAATCTATATTGTAGCACTTGCCAATGTCAGCACAAAGCAGCATTCGGTGGAGCAGCTGTCTGTTGTAATGAACTTTTACGTTCTGTATTACCCCTTGATCCATTGGCTGGATCACTGCAGTGACATTGGCTGGTAAGAACTCGAGAAAGGTGGATTTGAGTTCATCAATCTGACCATGGGCAGGACAATTATCCACAATCAAGACAACCTTCCTGCCTTGCATCGTAAATCTTGCATCTTCCTCACGTAGTCAGTATTAAAAAATTACCATAGTCATCCAGGCTCCTCCGTTAGTATTATACGTAACGGGAAGGTGTAGAACGCCCTTAAAACAACGTGGATGCTTCAACTTTCCTAAAACTAAAAGCTTCAACTTCTGATCACCTGCCAAGTTGGCACCCAGCAGCACAGTGATGCAATCTTTACTGTGTTTTCCACCGCTACAGGCTTCGCCTTTGAAGGCGCGAGTCTTTGACGGAAACATTTTGTAAAAAATGCCCTTCTCATCGACGTTGAAGACATCTCGCAGCTCATAGTTTTCCCAAATTTCCTGAAGCCGCCCTTGTTACCAGTCGGTGCAGATATCTCTATTCACTGCAGCACTCTCACTCGAGATTGCTTTGAAAACAAGGCCGTGGGGTTTCTTGAAGCGACTGAGCCATCCGTCGCTTAAGGGGGACATGGTACCTGATAGTGAAAAATATTAGTATTAGGTCTAGAGACATGATTTGTTCAGAGAATATTCAGCTTTGTACACTGATTGAAAACATGTAATTACATTTTCTTTTCATCAATAAAAAAAAAGTTACAACTATTCTTATTTTGTGAATTTGGGATGTGACGCATAAAAAGTAATCCATCAAAAGAGCTATAATTGAAACTGTATATTGCTGAATATTCAAATAGTGCAAATATGCGATTTGACGCTAGTATCTAAATTTTAGCCAAAGTTATGAAGTTTTTATGTCGCAGTCTCTTAGCTCTGAATTTTCAGTGGTCATTTCTGCAATATTTCAAAATTTTACAATGACCCTAAACATTTTATCAAGGTTCTCTAGCACACTTCAATACCCTAGCATTCAAACAAAAAAAAAAAGACCAAGAAAATCGAACCAGTATTAGCGACACAGTGCCCATCCCTTAATTCCAAACTTGAAAAAATCTCTATTTGAGAAAAATGCAAAAAACTGAAAAAGTGCTGAAAATAAATATTTCAGGCATGAGAGCCACTACACTTGTATTCACACTCACTCATAAGGCCCCTGCGAAGTAGTCTGAAGCAGGCTTTTGCTTGTGCTTCTTTGCGGCTGCCTGGAATGCTGTAGAACATGCACGTTTCCTCTCCGAGCCGACGGCACGGTGATAGTCTTTCTCAAATGCCCGCTGGTTACCTGTGCATGTTTGATCTAGCTGCAGTTCACGCAAAATAAGCGAACGAGATTCCTTGTTCCCCAAGTTGAAACGCATAACAGCATCTGCCATGGCAGTCTCAACGGCAAACAATGAGGCGTTCTTGCCCTTCGGTGAGAGGCTCCAAATGACCGTATGCAAGGCCTCATTCGCATTCTGCGCTTTCCTTCAGGTGCACCTCTGCAAGAGCTTCTTGTCGGAAAAGCGTTCATAAAGAGTGAGCAGTGCATTGCTCACAGCCTCTGGCAAATTGTACTTGCTTTTTGGGATGGGCTCATTCCTTGCCAAGGCTACATTATGCTCGCACCAAGACTCGGGGCCGAGTGGACAGAAGCTGTGGTTTGATTTCTCGTCAGTGGATGTCACATGATGATACGTAGCCCACACAGCCTTGTGCATCTCATCCGCATTTCCGGAATGGGATTTCAAAGCCCAGCCATAATAACTCGTCAATTTTGTGATGAGGCCACTTGTGAGCCAGCCCTTCCCACTGATGGGCTCGCTGCTCCCCCCTTTGTGCTTCTGCACGAGGTTCCGAAGCGCAGTCCCCATGCGCTTCTGCACATGGTTTGAGCAGTCTTTTTCAACATTTATGAAGCCGTACATCTAACTTAGCTTCTTTGACAGCACTGTACGACCGGCTGTCACCATCACAAAGCATGGTGGTGTACTTGAGGCCATGAAGCGAAAAGGAGTGCAGAAATAAAATCATTGCTGCCTCTACTTCCATTTGGCCAGCCTTGCATGAGGTATTTTCCTGGCACGAATGTTTGTCTTTCCATTTAGAACATTCTGGGCTCTCTTGTTTTGGACCACATTCACAGCAGAGGGAAAGATTAGAAAGCACAACATAGTCTAGCACATAACCTGAAAAAACTTTCATCACAGAGGCTATTCCAATGTGAAAGGTGTGTCCTCTCGTGTGCCAGCTTCCATCAAAAGAGACGGCAATACTTTTGGGGTTGCAGAAATTGCGGTCCTTGTAGAGGCACTTTACCACTGTGGCACACTTAGTCAAATGTTCGGCACAGGCTCTCGTTGCTCCTGACTGAAACTTCATTTTCAAGTACTCTTGGTACGTTTTAGTGTGAAGGCCCTGATGTGAAACACCGATAGCGGCACAGATGTCATTCAGAGCTGTCTGACCATTCCCAGTGCTCTGAACCTCACGCATCGTGCGAACGATGATTTCTAACGGGTTGCAGTTACTGCTGCCACCGACCCGTCACTAGCTCCAGTTCGAGCCAACTTCTCAGCAGTTGCTGCAGTGAACCTTCAGCCAACTGACCATGGCAAACTCGGCAACTTTCGGTACCGGGCTGACTCGCGAGAACACTCATTTTGCGATCGGTTACCGAGACCGAGGAAAGTTCCGTTGCTTTTTGCTGGGCGCGACGCTCGATGAGTTCTCGGTCAGCCGATGTCAAAAATGTCGCGTCTATCCATGCAGCTCGATCGCGCATGCTTGAACTACTGCAGGCAGCGGTCACAGTCACCGCCACGCGTTCTCTGGCTGCGAGATCTACTGCAGCAGCATTCTCTGCTGTCTTAATCACAAGCGGCGGCGTTGTTTCCTGGCGCCTTGTTGAAGTATCACCGCAATCAGCTGATTCCGACGGCACTGTGGTCGCCGTCGCGATCGCTTGTGTTGCAACGCCGCTTTGTCAGCAGTTGCGATGATTTATGGCACTTTGAGCGCGTGTCGCCGCCGGTAGAAGTTGTAGCGATCGAAGGCTGCCTTTGTGTCGGGCTGCTGCATCGCGGCGACTGCCGGTCTCCTGTCCCGCTCGGCTCTGCCGACGTAGCCTGTGCTGGCTGCTATGACTCCTTGGGTTGCACAGCCCATTTTTTCCGTCGCTTGCCAAATTTGTGAAGTGTGCGCAACTTACGAGCACGGTTCGGCATCTCGCTTTCGATCGCAAAACTACAAAACTTCTGAAATGGCGATGACAACGCGCGTGTTTGTGGCCGCGCGCGCGTGATAATGTTGTCAGTCTCCAATCATAGGTCGCTGTTTACTCACGTGACTGCTTTGTACTAATAATAGCGCACCATTTTGTCGCTTGTTTTTGCCTGGTAGTGCAGACTGACTGCAGCATTGAAGCAACGCCTCCTCTAGATAGATGCCTGAGGAATGGCTCGCGCTCCCAGCGGAGTTGGCCTGCCTTCAGTTTTAAACAAGCTCCGCGCGGTGGCGCTCGCGGACATAGGGTATATGTCCGCGAGCGCCAGCAGAGAAGACAGCAGAGTTCAGTTCAGGCTGTCAAGGTGGATGGACGTGTTTTTTGAGCGCTCCGGATCGACTGCGCAGATAAGTGTTTTTGCATGTTTTGAGCTTGTCTTTATAATTATAAGGCAGCGGTTGAAATCTTCGTAGTACTTATTTTATGGTACGGCTTTTTCGGGGGCCAGACACCAGGTATTTATTAGTTAGTGCGGGTGTGTGTGTTTGAAATTTTTTTGTTTTTTTTGCCACTCCGTGGGGGAGGTGCGCGTACATTGAACACGCAAATTTTTGTAGTAGAGCTTAGAATTTCCTTTTTTTTCTTCGAAGTGCAGGGCTCGAGTTTAGTAATTATTGAGTATAGGGACAATTGGTGTCAGAAAGGTATGGTTAAAAAGACCGTAAAGTGTTCAGGATGTTGAGTGGGTTTGAAAGTGGACCCAAGCGTAGAAGCGGATGGAGAAGAGGCCGGCGCGAAGTGTAGGCAATGTGAGGCCGAGGAAAAAATGGAGAAAATGATGGTTGCCCAGAGTGAACTGCTGAGGAGAATCGCCGAGCTCGAGACTGCGGTGGCGACAGAGCAAGAAAAAACGAGGGCAATGGGAGAAAGACTGAAGTCCGCCGAGGAAGCGCTAGCGAAGCTGAACAAAGAAGCGACCTACCGAGAGAACAGTAAGGAACCGGCAACGAGAATGGTGGAGATGGAAAAGCAAGCAAGCTTGGAAAAAACAGGTTTAGCCGGTGCAACTGTCGCAAGGCCCAGCTTCAGCGAGGTAGTGGTGGGGCAGGAAGGGAACAAAGCAGCCGGCGTCACAGGTGCAAGTAGCCCCCAGGTGCAGAACGCTCCAGCTGAAAAGTCACAGCATGTGATAATAGCCGGGGACTCGATTTAAATCGATGCACAGAAGCCATCAAAGAGAGGGTAAGAGGTGACAAGAGGGTTGCGGTAGGGGCGTTCCCAGGACGCAAGCTGGAAGCAGTCATGAGGCAAGCGAGCGCAAAACTCAAAACGACAGCTGATAGACGAAACCTCGTGATAATTTCAGGCGGTTTAAACGATGTCCTCAATGAAGATGCAGAAGGACTAGCAGCCACACTGGCGAAAGGCGTCGATGACATGCGCGCCACTTCTCCTAAGGTACAGGTAGTTATATGCACGATACCGGAGGTACCGGTGCGTGATAGCAACCTGCAAAGAGCGGTGGTCAACGCAAACCAAGAGATATGGCGGATGAGTCGAGAGAAAGGCTTTGAGGTGGTGGAAATAAACAGAGAGGTGCATAGGTGGGGGGGTTTTCAACGAGACAGAATTCACTTCGATGGGCGGCTAGGTCATGAGGTGGGTTGGCGACTTGCAGGACGCGCAGTAGCTTTTTCGGGGGGCAAGCGTGCCCTTCGGGGTGCAGGATAGCTAGTAACGAGGAAAACAACCAGGGAGACTCTTCGACAGCTGGTATGGACAGATACGATTCCAAAGTGGCACCAATATCTAAGATAGGTACAGTCCGGGGCATAAATAGACGTAGCCACGAGCGCCGAGCCAATTCAGACATAGGGTATATTAACATGCAGGGGCTGAAGTGGGAAGAGATAGAAGAACAGCTAAGGGAAGAGAGGCCGATGGTATACGGTTTTGTAGAAACACATCTCAGGGACATGGAACAACCTCCGAACAATCCGGACTTCGCGTGGGAATATTGTAACAGAACAGAAGGCAGCAGAAAGGGGGGTGGTATTGGGGCATTCATTCATAAAAGTACAGACTGGCAAAGGGTCAAGCAGGAGTGCAAGGAACATTTATGGCTAAAAGGGAAAGTGGCAGGTCAAATGACACTCCTTGGTTTCGTGTACTTGTGGACGGGAGCAAAGGCCAGAGAGGAAAACCAGGCAATGGTAGAGTGTATATCAAAGGAAATTCAGGAGTTAGGAAGAGAGTGCGAGATAATTATACTAGGAGACATGAATGCGCACATAGAAGATATAGATGGGTATACCGACCCGACAGGCAAAATGATCATGGATATGTGTGAAAGGCTTGATTTGATCATTTGCAACAGTACCGAGAAGTGTGAAGGGCAAATAACATGGGAGGTAGGAAGGCTTCAGTCGACGATAGATTATGCACTGATGTCACATAGGATGTATGATAAGCTCAGGGGAATGCACATAGATGAAGGTGGCTCCAGAAGTTTGGGTAGCGATCACAAACGTATCAAGCTAAGTTTTGGAAGAGCAGTGAAAGTGGGAAGGAGACAAGATGAGCAACTACAGAAAAATTTTTATCCAGAAAGGCAAATTGAAATAGCCACTAAACAAATTGAGAAAGTAATCACGGAGGGTAACAAGACAGTGTGGACATACTCAAATGTAATTAGACTCTTTGAGCTAGAGCTTGTTAAGACGCGTGACAAATCACCCCGGAAAAGAAGACACAAACCCAAAAGTTGGTGGGATGAGGAAGTTAAGAGAGCCATAGCAAAACGTCAGGAAGCCTCTAGGGAACACAGACATGCTAAGCAGCGGGGTGAACCGACAGATGATGTTGAAAGAAAATGGGCAACCTTTCTAAGCTGTAGAAGGGATGCATCCCTTCTGATCAATGAAAAGATTAGAAGGAAGGGAGCTCAGTGGCTGGCAGAAGTACATAAAAAAGATAGAAAGGCAGCTGCGAAATTTTGGAACCATCTAAACTCCCTAAGAAATGAGACGAGCCTAGAGCAGAGTTTTATAACTACAGCCCAAGGTGCTAGGCTAGAAGGGGACGAAGCTATTGAATATATAAGAACAAGGGTAACAGAAAAATTTCAACAAAGAAGTACTTTATGCACCACAATGGACAAGGACGAATCAAGGGGTGCAATGGCTCCATTTTCACAACAAGAGTGGGAAAGGGCTGAGAAAAGGGTTCCTGGTAGTACATCAACAGGCCCAGATGGCATTCCAATTAGGCTGATAAAGACATTAGGTCCGAAGTCTAAGCAGGCTTTGAGAGAGGCAGTGAGCAAAATAATAATCGATGGTGAAGTTCCCAATGGATGGAAACTTAGCAGGATGAGCATGATCTATAAAGGAAAGGGGGAAAAAGCTGACATAAACAACTACCGTCCTATAACAGTGACATCAGTGGTCTACAGGCTGGCGATGCAAATTATAAAGGAAAGACTGCAGGCGTGGATAGAGGATGAGGGGGTGCTGGGGGAACTGCAGAATGGGTTTCGGAAACACAGGAGGTTGGAAGACAATCTGTTCTCACTGACGCAGTGCATCGAAATAGCAGAAAGGAACACAGGCCCCTGTGGCTAGCATTTTTGGATATCAAGGGAGCGTACGATAGCGTGGTTCAAGAGGAATTGTGGGGAATACTGGACACACTAGGCGTGGAACATGTAGTCA